CAAAAGAGACATTGCCATGGGTAAAGCAAACCACAAGCTGCATACAAGTTGGGGAGACAAAACGAGACTCAACATGATCTTTACATGGCAGCAGGTGACCAGGTCCATGCAGCTTCCAGCTTGGCATATTTTGCGGCGTTTGAGTTCAACGCTGTATTGTTTTACTGCTAACGCTAACGAATCCATGCTCAATGACTCGCACCCGAACTCTCAAAAGCACTGTAAGGCCTATGGACGTTTACACGTGTGGCGTTGCTGTGCGAAGGAGACACTGAAGAGGCGAGTTGTGTCGAAACTGATTGTTTTGGTATGGGATTGTTCCTCTTCCAGTGAACATGTTTCGATACGGGAGAAGACACTGAGAAAGCTATTCAACAGGATTTTTCAGGAACCGGGTTCATAGAGCAAGTCCACCATCTTGAAGCAAGCCGAATGCACAATGTTGACTCAGTGACTTCGTTTTTTTAAACCTTCCCGGTGACCCAGTGACTTCCCAAATTGGTGACACACTGCCAGGTGGTCGAGGTCTTGGGGGATCTAATCGGCAACACCGCCACGGTGGTGCCTTTGGGCACTGACCTCTCAGAGGAGCCACTGCCCGTGCGCCGGGCATCGGCCAGGCGCCGCAAACACGTTTTGGTTCCTCTTGTACTCCAAGAGTGAATGGAATTTGATGAACCATGTGGATATATATTGTTATATATTGTTATATGTATTTAATTCTATACACAGTGACCTGCTGAAAGATAGAATATGTCTCATTGGAAATTGGAAAAAATGCAAATGAAAAATACATCCTTTACGTCCGCCAAGGGATAGAATACTATAGAATATTCCCTAAGAGATATTCGATTCTATCCCCTTCCGGACTATTCTATCTATCTCTTTCTGCGATACGCAACGTGTGCAAGAAAGAATTTCCGAATGTGGGATGCTTTCTTTAATCCAGAGGCTCATCACAGTACAGCGGGGATCCAGTGCAGCTCGTCACAGTGCACAGCGGGGATGTACGCAGTCCGTGCAGTGATGTCAAGATGAAAAAAGACAATCAAAAAAACATAGTTTGTTATTCTATATATATATCTTTCTCATTCGCAACGCAATATTCTATCTTTCAGCAGTCACTATACACATGCTCACCCCCATGATCTACCTGTGCCTGCTTTTCAGCTCTTCTACCATTTCCTGCTTTTCAGCTCTTTTTGCTTTTTTCATCCACCATTGGACCATACCTCATGTGCTATGAGGTCGTCTTCACTTCAGTCCACATATTTGCAGCTTTTCATGAGGTAGCAGCTTTGCTAGCTGTCTCGACCTGAAGTGTGATATGTAAACTCGTGCAGATTCACAGAGTTTGATGTATCCATGTAGCTAATTGCAGGTGGCAAGTATCTTTACATGTGGATCTTCCAAAAGTGAACGAGAGCAGTTTGCAAAGTGTAAGGTCCAGTGATTCGAGAAACAAATGATGGAAAAAGAGCAGCTGTGAAGCGGTGTTTGAATCCCATTCCCTCTTTATACAGCAGCCATTGTGGAACAAGATATTTCCTTGTGCTGTTCAGCCTTTCCTGTAGTTGGAAACATTTGGAAACACTTGGACATCAACAGTTGGGAAAAATAGTCGAAAAATCAACAGTTGGAAATCAACAGTTTGAAAAGGAAGTCAAAAATAGTGAAAAGCGTAGACATTACCGCAGGGGATGTTGTTATTAAGAATCATACCAGAGCAAAGTTCAGACAATTTTTGAGGGGATAACACGATTTTAACTTGGAAAGGCGCAGGCGTTAAACCAGGGCTCCCTTCGTCGACAAGGTTTTTGCAATAACTTGACTAGATTGTTAATAAGAGACTAAACAACTAAGAAAAAGGGGAATCAATACTAATTCCGAGGGATCTTAAGAGGAAAAGGGGGATCCATGAAGGGAAGAAATGCGAGGCAATCCCGATGAACACATTGCAAAATGCAATCTAATTTCTATACTGTGTTTGTGCCTGCATTGTCCGATGCGCCTGCTGTGAAAAATACGAGCCAAAAGCAATCTGGTGTATTGAAAACGATTGTTGCTTTTTGGGTTTTTGGTATTTGTTTGTTTGGTTATTGTTTTGGTTTTTGGTGTTTGCTTTACCAAAGCACTATGTGAAGCTGATAATTATGTGTGTTGCCTCGCTCGCCTCCAGTGTATCTTCCTTGTGGCCCATACAAAAACAATACAAACAAATACAATTTGTCCACTACCCCAGATATTCTTCGATTCGGTTGGTTTTGTGTTGTTTGATCAAAACTCGTTAAAATAGGTGTTGTTTGTTATTGTAGCATTTCATTGAACATGTGCCTGTGGTGATGAGGGGCATTCATTTCTGATAGGTGACAAAGGTAGTTTTTGCATGGGCAGACCCACAGACAACAGTCCCTAAACCCTAAACAGCTGTAGGTAGACCATTGGGGGAGTGTCCACCCGAGACAGATATATGGGTGCACGCCGATTGATTAGGGGGCCCTGGTAGGAAAGTACGCCCTTTTAATTGATTTATCAAAACCCAGTCTTGATGACACATTATTGGATGTTTTGTCTCGAACTGTTTAAACACAAACATGTTTTGTATTTATATGTGTTTATATACATGACATGACTCATCATGACTCTGTATACATACATATAATACTATGTGCATGTGCAAAACATTGGCATGTTTTGCGCCAGCATTCCTGAACTGTAGTTGTTGTTGATTTGTTGCCAGGCATCTTCGGGCCGTAAACTGCTGGGACTATGAGCCCTGGCTGCTTCGCTGGGTTTTGCAGCCTGAGATGCCTTTGGCAGAACAGCTGCCAGAGGAGCAGCCACAGGAGCCAGAGGCCGGTCGGACCAGAGGGGGTGTATATCCCCCGCACCCAGACTTGGCGCACTGCTGGTTGGGGTTGGCCCTGCGGTTGGTTCCAAATTGTTTTCGGGATTGATCCAAACGGTTCAGAGGAGGGTTGTTCGACAGTGGTTCAGGGTTTCACTTCTCTTTGGGGATATGATTTTTGGCTTGAACAGATGTCTCTAATTGAGTCGACCGGTGAGACTAGTGAGTTTGGGTGTCGCTTGCATATTTCAGGTTTGAAGGACCTCAGGGTTGCCTTCACTTGGAGTGTCCTGCAGAGGGACGGCCAAACTGGGATGTTGAAGAGAATGACAAATGACATCGAAATAGATACCAATGAGCCGCGTGGCCAAAGCGGCATGACCTCCTTGTGGATCATGTCCGCAGACAAGTCCCCACTTGTATTTTTCCCAACCATGCAGGGATGCCACTCCAAATCAACGTGTCACAGGATTGGATCAGAGAGTTTTCGCAGATCAATTGGCATTCATGGCCAGACGCTGCCTCCTCCTATAGACCTCAGGTGATGCCGGCCTTCGCAGCACGTCTAGCCATGTCCGCGACGTCACGGCGCTTGGCACTGCAGCGCCAGCGCAGCAGCTGGGGCGCACGTCGTGAGCGCCAGGCTTTGGCCTGGAAGCTTTTGAGGGATTTCTTGGACCCGGCAAAGGCGTCACTGGGCAAAAAGGCCGGCTAAGCAAGTTGGGGTGGGTTGAGAGATGTTGGGATGGTGTTTGGGGCCCAAAGCAATAAAATCTAGCTGCGGCTTTTAGAGTGGCATTTACGCTTCTACTATGTTTCGAAACTACGCCTACAGGTCGATTCTGTTCAATTCTTGCATGTGTTTAGATGCTCTTGACGGACATTAAGGGCAAAGGCTTCAAGAGAAGCTTAGGCTTTAAGTACAAAGTTGATAGTGTTGGCTTTGGTGGAACTCCCAGACAATCAAGGCCACGTTCAGTGCAGCCTTGCAGGAGGATGCATTCAAACGAGTCATGTTGGTACTCAGCCCTTGTGCCCATCGTTTATTTTACCCCAAAGTTCTGTCCAAACATGAAGATGCACATTGCGACCTGAGTGCTTGGGAAAGCTGATGAAAAACCGATTCCCAATGATTTTCCTAACGCGATTCCGTGAGCTGTGCTGATTCCGAGCCGCCCCACGGGTCCGAGCTGAGGAAATTGCTTCTGGATTTCACCTACCACGCGCAGCCTGCGAGTTTGCTGGGTCTTTATGGCGATGCCTAAAAACGCACGGCAGATGCAGCGAAAACCGTTGGCGATGCAGCGATGCGCGTGGATCGTGGGCTGCTGCAATGCGATGTTGACAGCGGCTGATGAAGGCAATACAGCATCTCGGAGGAGAAGGCTTCAATCCGACGGCCCAAACCAAGTTCGAACAATCTGCCACAGGAGACGTGCTGCCCTGGGTTTCCCCAAGATGTGTCATTTTGCGCTGTCGAGAAGCTTGAGATCTTCGGTCGAGACTGGGATCGAAGGCTGTTTGGATTGCTGCGAAAGGAGGCAAAATGATTTGGGCGATCATGGGCACCTGCAGCTGAACTGTTTTCGTTCCGGAACATACATTCAGAGGTTTTGCATGACGTCGATGCTCGGCTAAGGCTAAGGCAGGATATGCACGAACTTGAATTGGTCCATTTGCATCAGATTAATCTAAAATGTACATTTGGTCCAAGATTGCCAGGTCCTAGTTACATGGCGGGGGTGTTCTTTTTTCAAGTTGACGGGGTCATTCCCGTCAAACCTTGCACGATGTCAACAAAGGCGGCGTTGTTGCAATTTGGGACAACAAGATTGAGCGATTTTTATGTTCAAAGCAATGGCTCCATGATGCTTCATGCATGGCGAATGACACTGATCTCTCATGACCCATGGCGTTTTACTGTGAAGTTGGAGACCTTTGTTTCACGTATCAATGACACTAGGAGTATCCATGGAGTACCCTTCACAGAAGATGCGTCCAAGTTGGAGATGTATCCAGAAGATGTTATCCATGGAGTATCGAGAAGATGCATCCAAGTTGGCTCCCAACTTGGCTTTCCATCTTCCCAGGATGCGTCCAAGTTGTTAGACTCGACAGTCACAACCGTCGCAGCCATGGGCACTCCTGCACCATGCCTCCTGAGTCGGGCAACCGAGAAGCACCTGTTGGATGGGTAGCTGGGTTATGATGTTCTTGTGAGAGGAAGTCACTACTGTACATCATTTGATGCCAGTCATATCATGTCGTATCCAGTGTTGACAAATTACCTACTTCATGCAACATTACTATTTACGGTGAGGCAGGATTCTTTTTTTTTAATGTTTTTTTTGTAAAATACCTGCATTTCTTTAAGCAACCTGGATGCAAGCTGACCGTTTGTTCATATTTGTTCTATTGAGTTCCTTTGATGAACTTTGCCATACAGGATAGCACTCTAAGTTGGGGGCTCTGAAGAAACCCGTACAGGAACCTGAACCGAGCGCCGTGTTTCCGCCGATCGTCCTTTGAGAACCCCCCAATTTCGCACCAGAGCAATGGAACGTCTCGGCAGGCCATGGCGGCAGCAGTTGACCAACGGCTCTCAGCCATGGATTTGGAGCACCAGTGGAGGAGCTGCGGTAGATGAGCTTTGCACTCTCGAAGCAATTGAGGCTTTAGTTGGAGTCTACTTGTACATGTATAAAGATGCAGTTTGATTGCTAGAGTGAGGCAAGTCGAGCGCTGCAGAAGAAAAGACGACAAGTGACACATATGTTGCTATGTTGTTGTTTCAATATTTAACATATGATATAGAGGCTATCGGCATTGGTCTCCATTTCTTATAGCTATATTGATTTTCCCTTAGCTTGTGATTTGAGGTCAGCATACATACCAGGCAACATCAGTCCTGAACAGACGCCTGCTGAGTCTCATCCTGTTGAATTTGTGCTACCCATGAATCCATCATGGTGATATTATATATAGTGATAGTGATGGATTGGATGATCTTGGTTTGTGGACGCGAGTTCCTACGATTCCCCATAGACAGGATGCTCACCGCGACGCTCGACGGGTCACAGGATGCTGGGCCAGGGGCACCATCGTGGACACCAGCGCGGAGCGCCTGAAGGCGGATCGTCGAAGACCTGCCAGATGGACGAAGACAGGACGAACAGGTCTGCAGGCTTGAGGTCAAGTTGAAAATCCTGGAAGAACTTGAAGAAACTGAAACAATTCCTCAGAATGTTCGGGTGTTCTTTTGGACATCTCTAATAGGAACGATGAAATACTTTCAGCATCCCCCCTACAGGTGTGTTTTCGCACAGCGGCTACACATCAAACGTTTACTTGGCAGGACAGATTGAGCCCAGTTTGATCAACTCTGTTGAGCCTGCAATTCACATTTCAAGGCGTCATGGTGCCCAAATGTTGAATCCTTTCTGTCTAGCTTATGTTTTATGTTCGTTTGGCTGACCAACAGTCTGACCAACCATTGCTTGTAGGTAGTGCTGTGTTCTGTCCAATGTCACTATATTACCGACAAAACAATATGTATATATATATATATATAATGATAACTGGTATTAGGTATCCTGCAACTGCTCACAGAACAAGAGATTTTGAGGTGTGAATTCTCATTTGCGCGCCTTGGCAATTCAGTATGGCCTGAAAATTACTGGTTTGTAGAGGAAAACCGTCTTTCAGGGTGCCATTCTCAGGGTCCATGTGTTAGTTTTTGGGGAGTGTAATTCAGTGACAAATTGGTGCCGAGGGCCTGGGGCGCCACGGATTTCTCCGTGGCGGCGTGCAGGTGGAATATGTCGTGAACGGCGAGCGCACGGGCACTCAGAGCGGAGAGCGAGGTTCGGGGATCCATAGTGGTTCATTTCTTTCTCCCATAGAAGACCACCCACTAAGGATGATCTCATATGATCACCATCCATCACCATCCCATGTGATCTAAACAAACCCATTCAAGGATGAGTTCACACAAGGAGAGGTGTGTGTTGGATCGTTGGTAGTTCCCCACGGCCCTGTGGTCTTCACGGCCACTTGGACACCTGCCAGTCATCGATACCGCGCCAGTCATCGACAAGACGGTCTTGCGGGAGTCTCCTCACCTGCGACAGGCGAGCTGCGGCGGTTGCGGGCCGCTCAGGATGCCTCTCCAGCTCACATGCATCTCGAGAATCACCGAAGTGTTCATGGGTGGTCAGGTGGAACAAAGTCGGATTCAGAAACTGCACTGTATTCAGAAACTAGTCTTCAGAAACTATTTCGTTGTATTCAGAAACTATTTCGTTGTATTCAGAAACTCTTGTATTCAGAAACTATTTCGTCGTATTCAGAAACTCTTTTCGTCGTATTCAGAAACTATTTCGTCGTATTCAGAAACTATTTCGTCGTATTCAGAAACTATTTCGTCGTATTCAGAAACTATTTTCGTTGTATTCAGAAACTATTCTCGTCGTATTCAGAAACTATTTTCGTCGTATTCAGAAACTACTGTTCCTCATGCTCAGAAACTTCTATTCCCAAACTAGGGGGCAATGTGAACAATCGCACGCGTGGACAGTTGATGCTTATTCA